CTCCCCCGCCCAGCTGGGTCAGGCCACACTGAACATGGCTTGGTCTGGTCCCCAGGTCTTGGGGAAGGCCACGGAGGTGGCACCTAGCATTGGATGACACGCACGGTGTCCGCTGCCACGGCGGGCCAGACCCCTCTGCCCTCAGAGCCAGACTTCCCCAGAAGCCGATCTCGTGGCCGCGATGGCTGCCTGCTGCCTCTGGAAGCAGGCCTAAGTCACTTCTCACATTCAAGCCACACGTCCCCATGGTGACCTGGCACCGCCCTTTCTCCCCGTGAGCTCTCCGTGAGCGCTCAGCGCATGGAGGCCCAGTCCCGTCCCCTCCGCCTCCTCTCCTCACTCTGCCCTTCCTATCTGCTTCTCCAGTGCAGCGCTCCCAGCCTATGGCGTTGCCCCGTTCTACCCTCTGGGCCCAGGCCCGGCGTCCCCCCCCCAGTGGGCTCCCTGTCCACCCCTCCCCTTTCGTTCACCTTCCACACCTTCCCAGTGACCCCTCCTCCCATGTTCTTAACACCATCTCCTGTTCAAGAGCAGACCATGGCCGACCACGGCTGCCCTCGCCCCCACGGGCCGTGGCTCTGGGGGCCACGCCATGCATGTGCATGCCCTCGGGGCCACGCCACACCACGCCATGCAGGGCACAGTTCCCAACAGCTTGAACTTCCCTGAGGCCTGTGGGGAGCAATGGCATTGGGGCTCAGGGGGCAGGTGCCAGTGCCCAGCCCGGTCTCTGATGAGCAGCCCTCCCCACCCAGCTCCCTTCCCTGACCCACGAGCAGCTGGCACCCAGCCTCTCTGTCCCTGGTGGCAGGTCCCACACCTTTTCTGAGTCACAGAGTAGGACCCAGCCTACACCTTTCCTGAGACTCCTGGGTCAACCTTGCTACCCTCACCCTTGCTGATAAGTCTTTAGACCCAGCCCTGTGGCCAGTGCCCCTAGGAAAGGCCCAGGAAACACTGCTGGGATGGGCCCAGGAAATGCCCTGCCTCCTGCCCCTGACAGGGAGGCTTCCCTTCTTGCCTTGGCCACTGGGGAGCTCGAGGGCACAGCAGCACACAGCGGCTCTCAGCACTGTGTGGGGCTCAGCCTGCACGGGTTTCTGTGTCAGGCAGGAGAGGGTGGGTCTGTGCCACGCTGCCCTGTCCTCAGCAGAGAAGAGCAGGGGTGCACCCACAGTGAGATGGCTCCCTCGGGGGACGCCATCAGGGACATCCGTCCTCCAAAGCACTACCTTCAGGGCATCCAGGATCCTCCCGTCGTAGTCGATCACCACAGTGTCTCCTTGCTCGCCCTTGGGGCCGGGGGGACCCTGAGGCAGGAGGAAGAGGAAGCTTCTGGAAGAGCTAGCTGGCAGGTGACCGGAGGGGGGCAAGCAGAGGGCCTTGCCGGCGGCCTGGGCCCCTCGCACGCCCAAGCCCTACACGCTGGCTCCCAGGGGCCGGCGCTCAGGACGCAGCGTGTCTCAGTGTGTGCGGGCAGCGGGCGTCGGGCAGGCGGGCACCAGGAGCCACACTTGCCTGGCTCAGGGCGTCTGAGGCGTTCGAGCCCGCCAGCCTGATCTCTGCAATCTCATGGGAAAGTGGGGAGCCTCTATTTAAGATGAAGTTTTATCGATTTTAAAACACCACCAAACGAACAGCCCCTGTACCCCGGCCCTGGAGCACGCTGTCTCTGACGCTCTGGGTGACAGAGCTGAGGACAAGACCCTGGCCGTCAACTGCAGGAGAACTGACAGTCCCCGAGATCCAGGGCCGCAGGGGCTGCGAGGGGGCCGGGCCACACTGCCAGGGACTTCAGCCAGGCTCTGTGGGGAGCGGAGGCCCATAGATCCCAGGGAGGGAGAGGGGTACCGGGCTGGACTCTTATTCTGAAACATTCACGTTCGAACACTGCCGAAAGCGTGGATCGTGACCTTTCAAAGATCACTAATAAATTACTTTTAGAAAAGTTAAGAACCCCCCCGTTCTGTAGCTCTGGCTCCCCTGGGCTCTCTGTGGGAATGGGGGCCTCCCAAGCTCCCCCCCCCACCCGCGGTGTGGCCTGGGGCTGCTTACCCGGGGCCCCGCGGCTCCATCTGCGCCTGGCTGACCGGGCTCACCCTGCGGAGACACGGGCACAGACTCGCCGAGGCTCTCATGCCTGCACGCCGACCGGGCCCGGCCCACGTGCCAGAGCCCTGACAGTGTCAGGTCTAAGAATGGCACCCTGCGAAGTCCTGCGGGAGGGCCTGCGAGCCCATCCTCTGCCCCACGCTGTCGGGACGTGACCCGGGGCCGCGTGGCGAGCGAGCCATGAGCTGGGCCCGCACGGAGGTCTGGTGGCTCCTCGGGACCAGGACGCCGGCTCCCAGGCCAGCCTTCCGTGCTTCGGACACTCCCAGGCCCAGGCTGCCCCAGGCCCCACTTGAAAGGACAAATTAGAGGTGAAAGCACATCCCCTTGGGCTGGTCTGAACGGGGACGGTCTGAAACACCCGTCGGGCACCCTGCGGTCACCTTCGGCCCTGGGGTGCCGTCCATGCCGCTCTCTCCTTGGGGTCCCATGCTCCCGGGCTCGCCCTGAAATTGAAAGTTGGTGGTGAGAGTGAGCTCCGGGCGAGCTGCTGGCCGGGCCTCATGGGTGGGCCTCCCAGGAGTGCACCCCAGCCCGCCGTGGGAAGGCGTGGGCCGCGGGGCTCTCCCCGGCCAGGGTCATAGGGATGGCCCAGGGCCCTGCTGCCGCCTCTCCCCGGCCTGCCCTGGACAGCAGCCTGCACCTCTGAGACGTGAAAAAGCTGTGGAGGGAGGGGGATGCAGGGGAGCTGGGGGGGCATCTTCCTACCTTGGGCCCTGGGGGTCCAGGGAGTCCTGGCTGGCTTGGTGTCCCATCATCCCCCTGAGAAGGGAACGAACAAGCTGTCGCCCCCAGACCTCTGGCAGTCAGTGGGCCCCTCCGTCCCCTGGACCGAGCTGACCAGGCCACTCCAACATGGGCAGCTCCTCTCTCCCCTCCCTCCCAGCCCCCCAGCCCAGAGCGAGCCCCAGCAGGAGTTTTCAGAACGAACGAGAAGACTGCTCATAGGCGGTCTCCAGGGGAAGGCACGCCAGTGTTACTCAGAGAGCCGGAAATAGGCACTGCCCCCAAGTCCCTGCTGAGGTGGGCTGCAGAACCTGCCCGTCTTTAAGTTTCTCAGTTTTGTAGAGCTGTATGGCTTCTTGTCCTCTGTTAATGACAGAGCACCTGAGTGCAGGTGAGAGACAGAGACAGAGAGAGGCGAGCCCCCTAGGGCCTGGTCAGGCATGCTCCCTTCTCCCGTCCTCTGGCCCTTGGGGTCCTGGGCACTGGCTCCAGTCCTGGCATGTTTTGGGCTGCCCGGGCTGGGGATTTGAACTCCAGTCACCGCGCGCTGCTCTGGAGCAGTACACTACCGCTACCTCGGAGCCAGCCCAGACCGCGCATTTTTCCTCAGCCCCTGGTGACGCTGACCCTGCCGGTTATGGAAGTTCGCTTTGTTTCCCTCCGAGAGAGGGGGCTGCCCCAGTAGCGTCTCCACACTGTGACCCACCGCCTCAGTCGGCCAGATCCCAGGCACACACATGTGCCCGGCGTGTGGGGCCACAGCCTGCATCCCTGCACTCCCTCCACTCGGAGAACCACTGTCCCTGGCCCTGAGTTGGCGTGGCTTGGTATCCGAGGAAGGGAAATATGGGGGCATGAGGTCCCGGCCTCCTGGGGACAGGGCACTGCTGTGGCCCCGGGGCCGGGGTCTGGTGAAGCAGGGACACTCCTCACTGTACTTGCTGGCCCTCCCGTCTCTGCACCTGACGCTCCAGCCCAGAAGGCCGCACGGTCCCACTCACCTTCTTTCCAGGAGGCCCAGGCTCACCCTGTGGGGACACATGAGGTGCGAGACTGGTCAGAGCTAAGGGTTGCGGTTGTTGGGGGGGCACTGAGGACGAGGCCAGCCCTGGGCCCCGAGCCCCTCCAGGAGGCGCGGGTGAGTGTGGGGCCGACAGCCTTGGACCTCACTCCCGGGCCAGTCACTGCTCTTGGAGATGGGAGGTGGGGAGGGCGCATGACCTGTGTGGACGTCCACAGGCTTTAGCACGGCCGGCCGGGGCCACTGGGATGCCTCCGGCAGTGACCACGGGAACAACCGGGCTGCGCCCGACGGCAGCAACGCCACTCAGCGCCGACGGCCCGACCCCACCGCGACCCGAGAAGGCGGAGCCGCGGACAGGACAAGGCCAGCGGTTCCCAGAGGGGGTGGCAGGGAGTGCAGAGGACGTCCAGGACAGCGAGGCCGCTCGGTGTGACGCGTGAGGGACGCTCGTGTCCCTCGTCAAGCCCAGGGCGTGCGCAGCACCGAGGTGCACCTGGAGCGGGCAGCCAGCCGGGCGCCGACGGCGGTCCTCACAGCCCTCCTCCCCGGGGTGTTGGCAGTGGGGAGGTGGGTGTGTGGGGGCCGTTCAGCTTTGGTGTGACCCCAGAACTGCTCTAAAAATAAAGTCTATTGAAAACCAAGAAGCTGAGGCCGGCAGGTGGCATAGCGTTTAAGGTGCCGGACTCGCACACGGCCAGCTGCAACCTGAGTCCTGGACGGGGCTTGAAAATCACATCAGGCGTGTGTGTGCCCCAAGTCCTGCTAGGAGGGTGGAGAAGGGACGCAACGTGGCCACCGGGAGGCGATTTCTCACTTCCCCTCTCACTGTCTTTCTCCGTGGGTGCACGTGCCCTGGGGCAAAATCCTAAAACCAGACAGAAGCCCCCAAAGCTGCTGAGTCTTCTCGCACCCCTCACAGCCCACTGTGAAAGGAGGCCTGGCGTCACTGTGCCGGTTAGCGGATGTCGGCGTGCTCCCCTCGGGCTGGGGTAGGGTGGGGGGAGGCGGGGAGGTGTGAAGCCCACCCCCCAACGAAGGGCGGGTACTCACCTTGGGCCCCGGGAGTCCCTCTGGGCCCTGGAGGAGAGACGGGTGTTAGACGTCACGCCGGCTGCTCCCGGGCCTGCCTTCTCCTCGTTTTGTACAGGGACCCCCATCCCAGACAGGAAGTGTCGCTAGAACGGGCGTCGTGCCCCGGGACTGCACGGTGTCAAGTGGGTCACCGGCTCCCGCAGGGGCTGGGGGCTCTCCGGGTGCCTCGCCCATCCAGTGCCCCCACACAATCCTGGTGACACGGGAGGGCGAGGGCTCCTGGCTCTGGGACCACGTCCTGCCACACCAGGCCTCTGACCCATCCCGGATACTGACCGTCTCGCCGTCCTGCCCAGGCTGCCCTGTGGGACCCTGAGGAGGAGGAGGGAAGCTGTGAGGGATGCAGGGACGCCCTGTGCCGGCCCGGGCAGGGGCTCTGGGTGTCTTCCATCCTCCCGATGCCCGAGTGGGCACGGCTGTCTCCACCCCGAGGCTGCTCGCCAGTGTGACTGGCAGGACTCGTGGCCAGGTCGGCAGTGGCCCTCGGGGGGCCTGGTGGGTGTGGAAGGGAGGCAGGGGAGTCTCCGGGTTAGGGAGAGGGTGCTAGGATGCAGTCTGGCCTCAGTTTAGGTCAGGCCCTGGAAGGAAGGCCGAGGCTAAGTACTGCAGGGACCTGGAGAGAAAGGAGGGGTGGGGAAGGGGCAGCAAGAGGCGCAGAGGGGAGGCCCGGGAGTGGGCTGGGTCAGGGTTCGGGCCCATGGGCCTAGTGGGGTAAGTGATGTGGAGTGAGTCTGTAGCTCAGGGTTAGTGGTGTGGAGTGAGTGTAGGGCTCAGGGTTAGAGGTGTGGAGTGAGTCTGTAGCTCAGGGTTTGTGGTGTGGAATGAGTGTAGGGCTCAGGGTTAGTGGTGTGGAGTGAGTCTGTAGCTCAGGGTTAGTGGTGTGGAGTGAGTGTAGGGCTCAGGGTTAGAGGTGTGGAGTGAGTCTGTAGCTCAGGGTTTGTGGTGTGGAATGAGTGTAGGGCTCAGGGTTAGTGGTGTGGAGTGAGTCTGTAGCTCAGGGTTAGTGGTGTGGAGTGAGTGTAGGGCTCAGGGTTAGAGGTGTGGAGTGAGTCTGTAGCTCAGGGTTTGTGGTGTGGAATGAGTGTAGGGCTCAGGGTTAGTGGTGTGGAGTGAGTCTGTAGCTCAGGGTTAGTGGTGTGGAGTGAGTGTAGGGCTCAGGGTTAGAGGTGTGGAGTGAGTCTGTAGCTCAGGGTTAGTGGTGTGGAGTGAGTGTAGGGCTCAGGGTTAGTGGTGTGGAGTGAGTGTAGAGCTCAGGGTTAGTGGTGTGGAGTGAGTCTGTAGCTCAGGGTTAGTGGTGTGGAGTGAGTCCGTAGCTCAGGGTTAGTGGTATGGAGTGAGTCTGTAGGGCTCAGGGTTAGAGGTGTGGAGTGAGTCTGGGGCTCAGGGTTAGTGGTGTGGAGTGAGTGTAGGGCTCAGGGTTAGTGGTGTGGAGTGAGTCTGAGGCTCAGGGTTAGTGGTGTGGAGTGAGTCTGAGGCTCAGGGTTAGTGGTGTGGAGTGTGTCTGTGGCTCAAGGTTAGTGGCATAACAGCAGGAACTGGAGGTGTGGATCTGGGCTCGGGACCGGGTTTGGGGCAAGCTCTTGATTGGTGATCCCGGGGGATCAGATTTAAGGTCTGGGTGGGGTCAGGGACTGGAACTGTAGGGGGTTAGGCTTGGACCTGGAGTGTAGACCAGGCCCTGCTTCAGGGTCTGGACCGTGGCTAAGGTTGGCACTGGGCCTGGGGCTGTGGTCAGCAAGGGACCAGGTTCTGGTGTCCCAGCCCTGGGCCTGGACTTACCGCTGGGCCTGGAGCTCCCCTGGGGCCATCTTTCCCAGTGTCGCCAGGAGGACCCCGGGCCCCAGGGGGCCCAGGGGGTCCCGGAGGCCCAGCAGCTCCATCTCGCCCTTGGTCTCCCTGAAAGAGACGGGATTGGCATGACACCGAGGATGGGCGGGGTTCCAGGCTCTGAGTCCAGCCCTGTGTCCTCCTTCCCTGGCCTTGGTGGGCTCCAGGGGAAAGCTCCGTGGTTGGGCCTCTGGCCGCCCCCTGGCAGCCACCGGGAGCTTATACTCAGCCCAGGGCCCAGCGAGACCTTCGTCACCGAGGACCACGCCTGCTCTGCGCGCCTGAAGCCCGAGTCTGCGCTCCGGTGAGAGCAGAATGGGACGTGGGAGGAGGCAGGTGCCCGGCCAGCCCCCGGCTTTCCCGAAAGGACACCGGATGATGTCTCCCGTAAGGCCGTCCCAGGGCGTGCTTCATTGGAAGTGACAGGGACTCGCTCTTATCCCAGAGGAGCGAAAACAAGTTTACACGAAACCTGTGGGTCACGTTCACGGCCCCCAAACACCCATGAGCCCGTCACTCGGTGGCCGCTCGGCGGCGGGCACCATGTCACAGGACATCACCCGGCAGCGCGCACAGGCCACAACTCGGGGGATCCCCCAGGGCGTCGGTCCTGCTGAGAAAAGCCGCCTTCCACGGTACGTGCTGTGCAGGAGCCCCACGCAGCTGGAGCAGGTTAGTGGGGTCAGGCTGGGTGCGGGGACAGAGGTGGTCGTGGGTACAGCATGCGGGATCTGTGGGTTGTCACACAACTCTGCACGTTGGAGGCAGGTGCACAGAACGAAGCACACACGTGCATGCACGGGCGTGTGGAGCGGGGTCAGACACGTAGACTGTGTCATCTTCAGCTCCCTGGTGTGACAGTGTCCTGCAGCGGGGCAAGGTCACCACCGGAAAGACTGGGGGAGGGCACGTGGCGTCATTCACACAACTGCAGAGCCCCACTGATCTCAAAGTGAAAAGTTAGAAGAATGAAGAGCAGCCTGGGGCCTGACGTTAGTGTGGGTCGGACCGCAGGCAGCCGGAGCCCGCCCCTTGTCG